TGATTTCACTGAGCCCTGGTCAGGCACATTTACTCAAGTCAGCCTCAGTGCTACAAATGGCTGGAGGGTCACAGTAATTCTTTATAGGAAGTGTTAAGAAAGATGTGGAAAGTAAGCCACAATAAGAAAAAAACTAGAAATATGTGAAAGAAGTCCTGTGCAAGGACTGTTAATGTAACACTATTGGTTAGAAAGTCTCTAGGCATCTGCTCTTTGTTGAGTGACTTGTGCAATAGCGTGTCCCCAGAGACTGGCCATGATTTACAGTTCCCAGGACAAACACAGCACTTGCCATCAGGGGTACTCCCCCACTTGAAGTGTGAGGAGAAAATGTGACTCATTAGAGCTTGGTAACACTTATTTATCAGGGGGTTTTCACTTCTGGCTGTCACACACCGTAGTCATAATAAAACAAGAATTCAGTAACCCAGATATCTATATAAGTGGTTAAGAAATTTCCCTTTACCTTCTAAGTCCAACATGATCTCCACAGAAAATGGCTTTTCAAGAAAATCCTAAATCTTGGTCAAGCTGACCAAAGGACAGAGCTTTTTGAGTTCAGCAGGGCCATAATAGTTCAGGCACAGAAGGAGAATCACAAGTGCTATGTTTTCAGTGCCTAGAAGAGGGACTTTACTGTACATTTTATGCCTCTGAAGAATGAACTGTAAATCTAGGCAGCTGTATTATAAAAGAAGTACTAAAATTTGCAATGTGAACTTTGCACAGCTGTACTATTACATCCAGTTGTGGAGAGCAGTCTCAATGCACAGAATTCCTGCAAAGACAAGAGACTACATTCCTCATTATTTTGCTGAGAAAATGAAGTCTAATACTGCAGCAGTAATAGTGGGACTGATTGTAGAGCTATTAAGGAGTAAAGATAATGAAGTGTTTTGAAAACCCAGCAAGCTAAAAGTCCAAAGCTCAGGAAACAGATTAACAATAACTTTATATTTAGGAAGTATGCTCCCCTTAGAGATCACAATAATGTCACAGAAGTCCATCTTTTAAAGTTTTTGTTATTTTCTATAAGCTTCATTTACTGAATTCAATTTTCTGTTTTCAGTTCAGTCACATTAAATTAGTCACCTATAATACACCCATAATATAATAATGAAAGGGAAATATCCCAATTACATCTTCCCATGAGATAGCCTTTTTCTTGGCTTAGATCTCTCATCTAAAAAATCTTATTAAATTCTTGAGACATACCTGAGCCATATCCCACCTGCCTTCGGATAAACAACAGCAGGACGAGTATATCTGGGTCTTGAGTTACTGTGTAATCATTTTCTTGCTGAAGGTATTATAATACCAGGAATGTATTTATTCAGCTGTTATAAGAAAACAAGCAGCTGGAAATTAGTTCCCTTGCTGACTGCAAGAGAACTATTGGGAACTTGTTTATTTACTACTAAAATATATATGGTTTGCAGGGCATCTGGTCATATTTTATTTTGTCAAGAGTGGTATCCTGGAAGCAAGGCAGTCTGAATATCTGAAGACTGTTTGATATACATTAGAAATGTGGATTAATGATTAAATATTTCTAGATCTTGTACCAATTTTGGTTCAATTTTTTAACATAAAATGACCTTTTTTTTTAGAAATTTTTGAAGCACAACAAAATACCAAAACCATAGTTTGAAACAAATGTTTTCTTTGATCTATCTCTACAGTATTAAATATACTTTAAAAATAAACTGAGCTCTGGTTTCATATCCAAGTGATGAACCCATACTGATCACAAAGCTGTCCTAACAATATTAATGAAATAAACGGATATAAAAAGTCAATACAACCCAAAATATCTAGTTACCTTATTGATGTAAAATACAGATGCTTTTAACAAACAAAGTCTTCAAACTTCAGTGCTCTGAAAATGGAATTGACCCCATTTTTCCTTAACTAAGTAAACACAGGAATGCAAATGCCTTTTGTGAGTTACTATTAACAATATTTTAAACATACTTAGAATGCCCATGCATGTCATGGCCACAGAAAATGTGTGTACCTATTGCCTGGGTATGTGCACCTACCTGCTGAGAATCTGGGGGTGGAAGGGGGCATCCAATTGCTCACACTGGCACTGAAAAAAGAAAAAAAAGCATGGAAAAAAGAAAAGAGAAATGCTATCTTTCATTTTAATTATTATTTTTTGGTGTAGTAAAAGGCAGTATTTGGGAAACAAAAAGGACGTGAAAGTAGAGGTTTATTTTAAATCTTGACATAATTAGAAATCTGTAGATGAGACTATATTTTAACAGTAAGGGAACTTTAAATCCTGAAAAAACAAGACAGCCTGGTTTAAAAAAAAAAATAAAAAAAAAATAAAAATTGAGGTTTGTGGAGAACCAGAGTTATTTATTGCACTAAACTTGCTCAGATCTGAGAGCCCTCATGCTGGACAGACAGAGCTACCAAGCACTTGGTTCTCTGACAGCCAGACACATGGATGATGAACCAGCAAGGAAGGTGAGCTGGCAGGAAATGAGGCAGATTCTGGAATCTTCTAATTTCCGTTGGCCTTATGTTGATGAACAGAGAAAGACTTCCAAGTTCTTTTGGAAAATTCCTGATCAGCGTTAGCTACTGACCTTCCTTCCTCACTTCTGCAGAGAATCCTCATGCAGCCATGGGAACAACACCAGTAAAGAAATAGAAAATATGTTTTCTTCCATAAGGAAGAAGAAGTGTGATGGAAGCTGCTTTGCAAACCAAGCAGCTTCAGAATGCCCTTTGCTTTTTGTAGGGAATGCAAACCTGTGGGACAAAGGAAAAGAGAAGAAAAGAATGGAAGAGAAGGCTTAGCCTAAAGCCACAAGTGGTCTAAAGTCTTCTCTCTGCTTTCTCTACCTTTCTTTTCACAGTGTTAAATGTTCTCAGGGAGGGCATATGATCACAATCCTCTCATGTCCTTGCACTGCAGGAGAGCAGCTTTTTTCCTAAGGATGCTGGCTGTTACTCAGAGGCAGAGGAACTTTGACAGCATTTGACAAGTTAGAGCAAATACACCTTTACTAAAGAAATGTAGAACTTTGAATATGGATTTTTACTTAAAAGACCGTGAATAGTGATGGTGACATACTCTTATGTGGCAATATGTGGTGTAACAGGTGATGCTGCATTCCAAAAACATGAATAACCAAAAGTCTTTGTTTTATTATTACGTTATTACATTGAGACAGGGAGAAGTTTTAACTCCCACACTGTCTCCACCACTCAAAATGAAGGGTGGTTTTGACACCTTTGGTACTGGCTTCAAGCAGGACAGACATGTTCTGACTGAGACAGCACCACCAAGAGTGCCCTGTGGCTGTGTGTTTCAGCTTGAGTCACCTGAAAGAAAACTTGTGCTCTGAAGCTAGGTAACACAACTTTTTGAAATCAAGTGCTTCTAAAATATCTCAGGAAGACTTTGAAAAATTCTGATTTTACAGTCTTTCTTGGGGTGAACGTGGTAGCACCATGGGCACTAAACACATCCCAGAAAGCCTTTCGACTTCAGAAGTCATAGACAATATACTCTAGTTATTTTTTAGAGATCATATTACATCAGTAATGACTATGTAATAAGGGGCATTTCATCACAACAATATTTTGCATAGCCATGTACCCTGCAAGGTTTCTGCTGTGAGGCAGAAAACCTGGGGTTAGAGACCACAAAGCAGCACTTGGTTCTGTGTAGCACAGCAATTGTTCTGATGCTACAGAAGGCCAGGAAACTACAGAAGCCACTTTCTTAGGTTACAGGATGACATTTCTGGATTATTCACAGGAACACACATTAATATTTTACTCTGTTTGGCAGCACTTATGCATGGAAAGCTTTACAGTTATTAAAGCTGGATTCTGTAACTGACGCACAGAATCTTCACTGTGTGCCCTTGTTTGCTCTATGGCTTTGGAAGGATGTTGGGAGAAGGTATGAACAGTTTCCACCACATCTACAGACTATGGCAGAGAATTACAAAATGTTGTGGCCATTCTGTCTTCCACTAGGCCAAGCAGAAAGGGATGAATACAAGCTGCTCCTCTGTGTCCAAACAGGACAGGGGAGAGGAAAGGAAAAAAGGACAATTTAGACTGTCTGCAATCTGAGTGAGTGCAGGGATGTGTGTCCTGGTGTAGGCATTAGGAATATATTTACTTCACAAATGGCTGTATCAATTTAAGGGATTTTCCCCACAGACCTCTGGCTCTGGCTGTAGTTTGCAGAGCCTGAACACACTTCAGTGTAATGACCAGTAAACTAAAAGGTCAAAGGACCGTAGATGACACTAGTTCTAGGCCTCATGCTGAAACACATAAGGAAGGTTCACACTTCCTTCCTCGTGCCAAAGTTGATGAGGTGTTATTCTCTGATTCATGGGAAGAAAATTTCAAACTGCTGTAGCTGCTTGCTTCAGTGAGGACTTGTCTAAGTCATAATTGAACAAGACCTGAAATACCCATATGAGACCAGAGAAACAATTTTGTGGTTAAGCAAAAAATGACCTGTGGTTAATTCAGGAAAGCAGTGCAAGTGGTTTAGAACCTAGGATGAGAAATTCAACCCTATGATGGTGTTGCTGATAATGGGCAGTTTCTGTTTCCAATTGTTTAACTCTTTCTTTTAAAATTAATAAAACAATTGCAAGATTATGGCTTTATTATATTTTAAATATACTTATTATAGTTTTGATAAACCATTTATAATTAGAGGATGCCTATGAATAAAAACTTGAACTTTCAATACATGTTAGATTCAAAAGAATTTTATTATTGAATCAAGTATGGCCAAGCAAAGAAGAGAGGGAGGGGAGGACGGGAAAAGGGAGAGGACAGAGGGAGAGGGAGGGAGACTATAACAATCATAAGCCAGAAAAATGCTCAAGACTGGTTTTCAGTTCTCAGGATAAGCCATTAACAATATATTTTAAGTAATTTTTAATGCTTCTGATTTTCTTCATTACAATAAATCTTATATTTATTCTTACACCTGTGATAGAAAAATATTTCTAGTTGTAATATTTATTTTTTTTAAATATAGCTATGTTTATTTTGTCTTAAATTAAAACTCCCACTGACTACAATGGCAAGTATATCCACACATATAGGATAGATAATGTATATAGTATATAGTGTACTTAAAACTGCCTTGGTAGAGCTGCCTTTATAGCTTTATCATAAATTCTAATATTTGATAGTCTGAAGTTGCAATTGACAATCTCGTTTAAAGGAAAAAAGAAATTAAAAACTCTTACTCTTCCACAGTATAGGACACTGATATAACACAAAGCCATGAGATTTTTTCCTTCCACAGGTCTCAGATACAGGGGAGAATGTCACAGAATGTCTTTCGTTCTTTGGTGGAGTCAGAACAAACCTCTGTTTCAAATCCCCTGGAGCACAGGAATTATAAGACCAAGTATTTCCAAGCAACTCAAAAGTATTTCTGATTCAAAAGCTTTCAGCAATCACATTTGCACTGCACTAAGAGTTCTGCAGCATGATGACTGCCACAGCCCAATTACCATGATGACGCAGGAGCCAAGGTCTATTCTAAGCTTCGATGGCTTTTCATTAGGTCATGTTAAGAGCTCCACTCACAAGGCTCAAGTGGCTCTGCTCTTAGTGGGAGACTTGTCCAGAGAAAATGCTTCAGAAGATGGCAAGTTTTCATCAGAGTTCAAGCAAGTTCAGAGCTTTGAGTGACACTTCCAGTAAAGGCAGGGAGAGCTATGAAAAGAGAAAGAGGAAGAGACAGCAATAGGCAGAAAAAAATATCAATATTACACTTGTTATTTTGGTTTTTTTTCTTTTGCCTTTCCTAATTTCCTTGCCTTTTTTCTTCATAATTCTAAAACCAGCTGTCTGGAAAATTTTCTAAGCCAAAAGAACAGTAATGTCTAGGAGGAATTAAGGCAAGGAGCTCCTTGTGTTCATTCAGTACAAAGTAGAGTAAAATTTGGTCTGGCTTTGAAATGACTGTAATGTCTGCAATCACAGCAGATTCCACCTGCTGCCAGAAATCATACCAGTAGTTCTGCCTTTTTAATACTTCTTCTGCTTCTCTTCTCAACTAAGAAATAGCCACTTATATTTCTTATAAAAAAACACTGCCACTGTGAATTGCAGAATATTGCAGATGCCAGCCTGGCTATATAGATTTTTCCTATATGAAAACAATTTAAATAAAGGAATTTTTTAAAATAGTCTAATGTGTTTAACATTTAAAATGCATCTCAGGGTGCCAAGTAATTCACATTTGAAAGCCACATCCCCTATAACACACCAGAGATAAATGAATAGTCCTACATAAGAAAAATTTCTCTGAATGCTCATTACAGAGTTAAGGAAAGAATATTTAACTTAGGAAACAGAAAATTGTTCCTGTCCCTTTTGAAAGATGAGGGCATACAATTTAAAGTTATTTTGTAGTAGGTCATTCTTAAGAGTCATGCACAGCCAAGAGGGTCAGCCTCTATTATAATGATAATATTTAATAATTATATATAATAGTTTTACTAGTTTAAAGGATTTTGCAGAAATAAGATCTGTCTCAGCATGATATCTCAAAATATCAGATTAATATATTTATTTTAATAAATACTGAATTAAGACTTATCAGAAGTTATTATTGAAATTATTGATGTTAATGACAAGTCAATGACAGGAAATGAATTATATTTAATTTTGAGCAATAAATGAATACCAGATCTAACACTGAGCGTTGGACTACTCTATCATGTTACAGAATTTTTGACACTGCACACATCTCATACCCTTCATACTGGGCTATGAAGCCAATGAGAGTGGTTGAAACTAAGGAAGAGTGTTTTGTTATCCTATTTCATTCTGTAGGTGCTGCCATCTAAGAGGCATCTTAGATGCCAAAAAAAATGGGTTTATGTGACTAACTATTGACAACCACTGTCTTTATGTCTCTTTTACTGTACTTTACTGATAGATATTATTTTAAATATTTAAATGAAAAGAAAGGGAAATATGAGAAAGTAAAATAAAAAATTGTATCAGACATGCTTTATTTCCAAAAATATAAAAACATTATGGGTCCATTTTCAAACATCTTTTTGTTAATATATAATATTGCAGGTTCTTTCAAGAGCTTCTCAGACAGCCAGGTGTTAAATCACCTTTAATTATATTCCTGGACATCACAATGGGCATCTAGAACTACTTTGATGGATTGAACTACTGAGAATTTGATTGTCAACATTCAGTTGAATAGAATTCTCCTAAGTTTATGCTGAAAATAAGTTAGAGGCACCTAAAGCAGAATTTGAAAATTACCAGATAAAGCACAGATGGATTATATAAACCTATGTATAAACTAATAATCTAAATTCCTTTTACAGTTATTGGGGTAAATTTTATCATGTTATAGAACCACAAAAAACCAAAATTATTTGGGCTGGAAGAGACCTTAAAGTGTATCTAGTTCCAACAAATATTTTTGGGGTGAAAATAATTATATCCTAAGTTATGCATCTAAGCCTGATGAATCCTGCTCTGAAATATTCCTGTTTTCTCTAATGTTTGTCTCCACTGATTATGAAAAGGAGCATGTAGGACCAGGGGGAGAAGAAGGAGTCAACAAATAAAGACAGCTTAGAGCTGAAACCCTTTGAAACCCTTTCTAATATATCTCACCTGAAATCTCTTTCCAATGCCAGACAGATGACAATTAAATGCTGTGACTTTGGTCCATCAATTTACACACTGTAAGAGTTGCTTCATTTGACATAAATCACCAAAACTCTGTCAAAAATAGCACAGATATGTTAATCTACATAAACTGTCCTCCAAAACATAGATGAATCCTGTTCAAAACTCCCCAGACTAAATCCCTATTCCTGTGGAAGTTCTTCTGTTCTATCCAAATCATATATCTTGAACTCAAAGGATTCACGTCACTGACTTTTCATTTCTTGTCAATAAAAATGTTGATTTTTTTCTTAACCAATGGAAAATATAACACCTAGAAGACAATAACATCATCAAAAGGCTTATCATTAAAGTGAAAAAAGCAAGTGTAGCAGCAAGAAAAAGTTATTAGGAAATCTACATGTTTCAAAAGATGTTATTAGGAAATCTACATGTTTCCCTTTCTTACTCAAAACACTGGCTAGCAGCACATGTTAACCAAATTGTTATTGTAGGTAATAATTAAAGCAAAAATTCTGTTACTAACAGTTACTCCAATGAGTTTAAACTTATTCAATTCGTGTCTCATTAGTACATATCAAAAATAAATCACTCCCATACGCATTTGAAGAGCTTTTAAATCTTTCTGATTATGAGAGATAAGCCATTTTTTCTGCTTCCCATTAAAGGTCAGCCAGTACTTCTTCTACCACCTTGTTTCCAATGTTTATAAGTTGGCTGGAAAAAATAACTTTGAGTGGAAAAAGTAGGCAACCTTTTCTTTTTTTTTTATGGAGAAAGTATTCTTTCTGATAAGCAAGGAAAATCCAAAATAGATCTCTTTTTTAAAAATACAAAACATCTTGTAGAAATTCTCATTCACTTGCTTCAACTATAATTATTGTACTATGCCTACTTTACACTGGCAGGGGAACAAAAAGAGAGAGCTGGTCAGGGACAAAAAATATCTTTCTATGTGGGAAATAACAAATATTAGTGAGTCAGAAGAGCGATTCCTACCAAGAAATCCATATATTGCTTTTATATAAGAACAGAAGAAGTTGGAGGATGGGTTTTGGAAATACATCCCACTGCCTTTATCTTTCAGAGTTGCTACAGCAGAACATTTCTTGTGCATCAAATGAGTCTCCTTGGCCACTTGTGCAGCCCTTAAGCTCAAACAGGAGCCTTTTGAGTCAGCTTTGACATTCCCTTCAGGGGCAGCTGGAGTTCAGTCCAGGCTGAGGAGATGTGCCTCTCAAAACCCTGTACCTCGCTCTCCCTTGCAGATGATTTCTTCTGTAAATTATTTTCAGATATCTCAAAGCAGATTTTCAACGAGTTTTTGGATGCTAAATGACTGTGGGGAGTGGTGGATGTTGTACAGAACCAGGCCATTCAGAGGGATCCTGCCAGTTCAGAGAGATGAGCAGACAGGAACCTCATGAAAATTGCACAGGCAAATGTCAAGTTCTGCACAGGGGGAGGAATAGGAAAGAGACACCCATGCACCAGAACAGGCTGGGGCAGACTGGCTGAAAAGTGGTTCTGAGGAAGGCCTGGACATCCTTGTATTCAACAAGCTGAGCACGATTGTCAGTGGGCCCGTGCACCCAAGGTGACCCAGCATGTGCTGCACTAGCAGGGGTGGTGTGCAGTTCCATCCTTCCCCTCTCTTTGGCACCTGGAATATCACATCTCAATACTGTGTCCAGTCTGGGGCTCCCTAATTAAGGTAGATATTTCTACACTGAGAGTAGTCCTGCAAAGACCAGCAAGCTGGGCAGGGGGCTGGAGCACAGGATGCAGGGAGAGGCTGAGGGAATGGGGTTTGTCAGTCCTAGGAGGAGATGATAACATGGGGACCTTGCTGCTATCTACTGCCACCTTTTAGGAGAACATAAAGGAGATGGAGATGCACAATGGAGAGATGAAAGGCAATGAGAAAGATGGAATGTGGAAAATTCTGATGCAATATAAGAAGTATATTTTCTATGCCAGAGCAGCTTGCCTAAAGCGGTTGTGCAAACTCCATCCTTGGGGAGCATCAATACTTGACTGGGTAACCTGATCTTACTGGACTCATTTAGGGCAAAGGTTGCAGTAGATTACTTCTGGAGAACCCTTCAAATTCATGTGATTCTGCAAGATGGCTTTTACCTCCTTGTGAAAATTCACAATTGCATGTACACCTTCACTGAAATAGTTATCGGAGAGTCAAAACTTTTTCAGAAGCTGATGCCAGAGGAAGTTAAGTTTATTGTCTCCTGTAATGCTGCAGTAACACAATCAAATTAATATTTTCAATATTTTAGGAATAAAAATATTCAGGGAAAACACCCAAGACAAAAGACCTCAGGGCAGGCAATTGTAGCTCTAGCAGACCCACAAGAAGGCCTTACCATCTCTCTTAGAAGGCAATTGCAGCACTGTCTCTTTTCAGCCACTGTCTCCTGTTGGCTCATCTGTGGACACCCATCTGGTTTGAGGGAGGTTGTGCTAAGGTTCAGGTCTCATCTGGCCTGCACATTATGTCAGCTTACAATTAATTACAATTAATATGTAATTATTAATTACACTGACACAAGGGTTATTATACCTTTACACAGGTGCTAAAAGTCTGTAAGTTGTCATATTGTAACAGCTGCCTCATGGTGGTATAAATGGCCACAAAAAGTACTGAGCAGAGGATGTCAAGACTGTGATGAATTTAGTTGAAAGTAGCCTTTGTATTATTTTTTTTGACTTTTTGAATTTTGAATTATGAAGTTACACACAAAGTTTTCTCTAAGCTATGTATGTATACATACATATGTATGTATATAGTGATGCAGAATTTTGATACTCTGCTGTTTGAATTTGTTTTATTTGCAGTGTGCAATCCAGAATTTGTCAATAGTAATATTAGTTTCATTATGCCTTGATTTTTATTTTTTTTTCTTAAACACATCTATACTGGGTTGGATCTCTAGAAACACTGAAACACTACTCTCATGACAATAAAACTATTTGAAGAGTGACAAAAGAGCCAAAGGTTTGCATGAATTAACTCTGGCTACAGAGCCTTTTTGAAACCTGATAAACAAAGGAACTGCACATATTAAAACATGCCCTTTCAGACAGCATATATCACATTCTGCTTTCAAATCCTCTGGGGCAGCCCAACTGCATGTACAAAGAAGGATTTAGCTGTGTATAATATAAGTTGCTCTTTAGAAAAAATACTCAGGTTTTGATATACCAAAATATACCAAAGTGACAAAACAAATGAACAGAGCCAAATATAAGCCAAGATTCAATAAAAGTAATTTTGGAATTCTAGGGCAGTGATAGCTTTCCATTTTTCTAGTGAACAATACAATGTGCTTATGTGACTACTTACCAAAACAAGTTTCAAAAATCATCAGGCCCTCTGCTCTCTCATTATGCAATTCCAGATGCAAAATAATTGATGTGGTTTCAAAGTTCTTGGGATCATTTCCCAACTCATACATTTTATATATAAGAACTTGCAATCTGTGCCTACTAAAGTCCATTTTCCCATGGAGTTTTAAACTGTCTTTATAATCAGAAGAATTTAAATATCTAATGGTATATCACATCCTGTTAAGCTCTGAATTCTCATTCCTGTACAGAACTACTGAAATCTTAGGGAAATAATTATAATAAATTCAAAATAATTCACAAATCAGTTGGAAGATAAAGCTTTTTAACACCATAATTTCAAAGTTACAACAAACAGAATCCCAGTGTTACTAAGAAAGCCCCAACTTGTTAAAAAAATAATATGCTAGCAGTCTTTCAGGGGACAAGTTCCTAATCTGTTTATCTGGTAATTGCAGTCTATTTATAGCACACAAAAATTAAAATATTTATCCAATTTTATTCAGTCACTTAAAGAGGATTAAGACTAGTTCTGGCTATTAACAGATCCAGCTGTTATGGTCATATGAAAATGGGAAAGATGCCTACTGAGAGGCAATAAAGAGCACAGTCGTTCCTCAAGCTATAGCTCTCCTGCTCAGGAGCGTTAGCGAGCAGGAGCTTACAGAATGATGCTCCTCTTTGCACTGCCTTGTCAGAATACATCTCCAGCTGAGGCAGAGAGGGCTGCTGTGCTCCTTTTGTGGTCCCACCATTTAATAGAACTACTGAAAAAAATCCTGGTGAGCACAAATGCTGTGTTTAAAGGTAGGCTGAGGGAGAGGGAAGGGAAAGAAATGAGTAAAAATGTGGAGCAGATTTGGAGGCAAGAACTTTCTGCTTGTGTATGACTCCTATGGCTTGGTTTTCTGAGGTGCTAACAAAGGTGAAATAAACTGACAAATCATAATATATCTTGATCTAAACTATCCCCACTCCCCCATCACTGTCCTTCTCCCTTAGTTTTAGATGCTTTTGCTTGGGATTTATGTATACATTCAGTATCAAAACAACAAGATTAGAGAAGCCTCATTACAGTTAAGAAATCACAGAAACTATCTGAAAAAATCTTATGTGTAAATCAGAAAATACAGGGAAAGAGGATATTGAAGGTATGGCAGCACTGGGTAGGAAGATCAAGGGAGATCAAGGAAGGAAGAAAAGCTCTCATTCTGTACTTCAGCAAATCAATGATACAGATGGCAAGTGTTTTCCTTTGTGCTAGCATTAGACAGCACACATTTCATCAGGAACCTCTTTATGTATCTGCAATTAGATATCAATTTTTATATGGGCCAAGAAAGCCTAAAATACAAAATCTCATTCCTGCTTTTGCCAAAGAAGCTAAATTCTCACTAATTAAGGTGAAATATGCTATTTGTGCAAGATTCAGCTGAATCTGTATTACTGTTTTTAGTAAATGTGGAATAAAGTGACTTGAAACATACTGATTCTAAAGTGTCACCCATAAATTCATGTAAGCATCCTTTCTTTTCCCCCCCTCAGCAACTCCTTCATTCCTTCCTTTATTAATCCTGTGCATTCATGTACCTGTTATAATAAAGACATGTAGTTAAGAGATTTAGACTTCTCATTAATCATCAGATAAGAACTCAACAGTAACAGCCTCTCCATCACCAACAAGATTTTGCAAACTCTCAAAATTTACTTTGAAAAGTTTAAATTCACCACAGAGGCATTCCTATCAACCCAGTCTAACTTTCAAACAACGTTTACAATAATACCTGCAGTCATTCATCATGCTTTTAAATATTGAGTTATCTTCTAGAATTCAGACATCTAAGACCTGGGACAACTTCAGTCCTATATCCATGGAGATTTCTCCCTGAATCAAAGAGGAAGCCATGTCCTTGTGTGAAACAGAGCAGAATTTGAGGGGTTCTGTTTTTGCAGTGTGTGAAAACTTGAAGATCTCCTTAACTGTTCACAAATTGGAGGAAAAAGGGTTGATCCAGGAGACTTCTGGGGAGGGACTTTGTAAGCAACTTGTGGGCTGGAAAGAGGTCTCCTCTAGGAGTACTCTTGTTATTTCTTTCTGACATGTGAATGGATGCTAAAATTTTGTGTTATTACTTTCACTTACAGCGAAATTGGTCATTGTGGTGCTTGTGATATTACAGCTGTAAAACAGACAAGGTTTTAGCTGATTAACTTCTACTGAAAGAAACTGAGAAATAATCTGATTCCAAAGGCTCAATGGTGAGGCAAGTTTATATGGCAAAATTGCAGGGATGACTGATGCAGTGATAAAAATTTGAAGATTTAATAAAAGAAAAAAAAAAACCAACATGGTTTTCAAACTTCATAATACATTTCATGTCCAAGCATGAATTCTATCCATCTGCAAAGAAAAAAATGTCATGTATCAAAAACAGTAGAGAGAAAACATTTAAATTGAGCAAATCATTTTTAGTCTTAGTTTTATTTCTCTGTGAGTTTAGGGACAGTAAATAAGACAAACAAATGAAGAAAGAAGACAGGTGGAAGATAGTATGGAGAAAGTGGTTCTCTGGGGAGAATAATGAAGTGAGGGAAGGGTAGGATGTGAATAGAAATCCAGCATACAAATTATAAAATGTGGGTGTCGAGTGACAGAGGGAAAACAGAAAAGATAGCAGCTAACAAAAGCCTGGAAATGGAAATGCATTGCATCACAGACTAAAATGACCATGTTAATTGTCTGTTGTAAAGAAGGTTGTGAGACAGGACTGCTACTTTAATGTGATTAACTCCATTCCCAGTAACTCAATCCTTTTGCAGTCTCAGGCCTCAACTGTGCATTCATTGGTCTAAAATCCACCTTGGCTGCCAAAGCAGGCTGAGTTGGAGGTAGTGAAGGGTTCTTCCTGCTTCACCTCCTCACTGGAGCTGCTCTCCTTCTCCTTGCTCCAGCCCCAGGAAGGTGATTGAGACCGTGAAGAACCCACGTGCAAAAGTGCAGTTAGGGAAGATGAGGCACTTCTCTACTTGTCTGCCTACTGCTCTCCTAGAACAGCCTCAACTTGATAACATGCCTGAACAACAGCAAAGATCATTGCTAAAATGGAGCTGACTCAGAAAATGAGGAGAATGAACTAAATATAAATAATAACAGTTAAAAATCAATTTTCAGGCAGAGATAAAAAAATAATTGCATAGGCTGCTGTTCTACCCTAAGACAAAGCTGGCCAAAATTATTTCTAAAAAATCTAAGGGTCTTCAAAAAGATCACAATACTATTCAACAACTTGTGTTTGATTGTTTTTAAGCATGAATGTTGTGAGACAATTTTGGAAATTATATTTTATCTGTAGCTAATTTAGTCAAAATTTTCAATCAGCTGACTGACCTGGGGAGCCTCCATATAAATACAAGATCACATTGATTTTATGTACTCATTCAGCTGTTCCTAAATGCCTGACAGGCCTGACAACTTGATCAATAAGTGATTCCATTCACCCAGACCTGCAGGTGCTTTTTGTACTCTCCCTGCTGGAAGATGACAATCATACTCATTAAAGGCAACACAAAGCATCACCAATGACATGTTTCCTGTCAGACAAATACAGCCAAGGCCTATTATGATTTTATCTGAGAGAAATTGATTTAATCAGCAGTCTAAGATTTAACCTATTGTTAATAATGCAATTTAAAGCTTTTCTCTGTTGCTTCTGACCAACCTAACTGGAATTTAAATGGGTAGAAGTGACGTGAAAAAGCTCACAAGGGTCAGAGTTTATCTTCTCTGTCTGTGCCAGACTCTTTGATGTTCAATGTGAAGGACTAATCCTCATGATTCCAGAAACCATCCTGTGAACAAGAAATAATTTACCAAAGCTATTATGTCACATATTGCTGTCTTAATTTAGGTTTTACAGAAGTTTTATGTTCTGTGAGCTTGAAACATCTGGAAGAAGCATCAAACTAAAAGCTGACAGGTTGTGTAAAGATAATGTTTGATGAATATGCTGTAATATGGTCTATTCATTTGCAGCTTTTTTAGTGTTGTCTTTCTTTCTTTTAAACCAGCATTATTCAATTAATTACAAACTACATTAGCTTTATATTTGTGGGGAAAAATGTTTTCAGTGTTTTTTTGGTGAAATTTAATTCACTGAATTTACAAGAGAAAACACATACAATAACACTTTATTGATGACTGAAAAAAGAAGAAGATACTGGTTTCTTGTAATGCAGTAATTCTACAGTCAGTAACTGCCAGTTTGTAGTACAAACATTTTTTATAACAGACCTGAACCAATCATAATATCTTCTGGTAATGACTTGCAAATTTAGTATTAAATGTATTAAAATGAGATTGAATATGAAAACTGGTTATATAATAAAAAGACTTTCTTACTCAACAGATCAATTTCCCCTTAGTCTCTGACTATGCACCTCCTTCTGTGGATTGCATTCTGCTTCCCTCATATCCAACCAGTATTTGATGGGTAAAAGAAAAAAAAAAAACCCAGACAGCTGGAAAAGGAAAAAAAAAAAGAAAAAGATAGCAACACTTAGTCTGTGTTCCTGTTAAACAACATGATTCTGGAGAGAATGTATGGTGCAGGTTGTCCTGAAGGGAAGAGTTGAGAGGATGGGTTCACAGATCTGTTAGGGAGAACATGTCATGCCCACAGGAAAGCATGGTTAGCCAAACCACAAAGACATTCAGAAACTTAAATTCACAAATAAAAGACCCTAAAATTTTCACAGTCACCCTGAAAATGTGAAACCAATGATTGTGGGATGAAGATGCTAAATAAGAGATCTAAGTGACTCTGAAAACTGAGGGAGTAATCTGTGTGTGAAAGAGAAGTGAGGATGAAATTATTGCTCCAATCAACACTGCAGAAGATAAAAATCTTCTGATTACTGTACAGAAAATTGTGATTTTTCCCCCAAATTGCTGTTACTCCATGTTTTTCTCTAGCTGGGATACAGCTCCTGAGATCTGATAAACATCAGCTCTAGCATCTCGAATACTTTGTGGAGGAAAGGCTGTAGCTCAGCCCAGGATCCGAACAATACACAAGGCATCCTCTCATATTTCAGTCGCAGTGTTAAAGCTTCAGCCCAAAAGCTGTCACCTGCTGGATGGAGTGAGTCCAGTATCTTCCAAGATATAAAAAAGATATATCCATCCTTGGTGTCTGAGCTAGGAGTTCAGTTTTGTCTTGCTAAATTTTATCTTAGAGCAGACAAGTAGAGGAACGTCGTGGTGACAAGCCAGGATACTTGATTGTAGGAAAGGTAGGCTTTTCATTCATCAGCAGAAAAATGGAAGGTGAAAATGCAGCACAGGTTGGTTTTCCCTGGGGAGGCAATACTGGGAGTGCAACAAAGAGAGAATGATGCATACCCCCTAAAGGAGAACCGGAGAGTTAGTAATAGGGAGAGGAAATAGCAGACAACTGTAAAAGCTACAAAAGAAAATGACTTTGCAAGTGCATTACCTGCAGTGACATTGTCAAAACAAAGCTGTTTCTGCAAGACAACTGAATAAAAATCTTACTAAAAGGGTAGAATGGCAGTGTCATTGCACTGGAAGTCAAAATGGGACAGCTTTAGCAAGGAGTGAGAGAAAAGAAATTACAGTAAATCTCTGGGTGAATTTAGAGGTGAAGAGAAACAAGAGAAATGTCTAAAAATATATTGGTGGAATCTCTAGTAAGTTCTGAGGAGTAAAATGTCTTCATAGTAGCTGTAGTTTAAAGGAAACTGAGGCCATACACATTCTAGTATCATAAATAAAAGGAAGTTATTTATTATCAAAGAGATTTTATATGTTTTTTAATTATAATTAAAGTCAAACTTTAAAAATAGTTTCTGATGATAGAGTAAGTATGGATCTTCATTATGTTTTCAGTAATGCTTAGATAAAAACATCTTCTGCAAAGTATTTTAATGTCACTCTTTAGACATACACAAGTTACTGCTGAATAGCCAGTCATCATGAATCATCTGAGCTGTGTTGATACTCCAGGGTGACTTTTAAAAGAGCAAATCCAAAGTCATATGACTTAGTTAGGTACTTTGCCATATGCTAAGTAAATTTGGTTTGCCTCATGTGAACTTGAAGGTGCCTATATAGACACTTACCCATTTGTAATGTGTTTAATGGTGTGAACTTTCAGTGTGAAACCATACAAGAAAATCAGAATAACTCTTTTAATCCAGTGAGTGACCTTTAATACTGCTACCAGTGTCCCAATAAGTCAAATTTTAGTAAAAATGAACACGTCCTTTGATGGTTGCTACTGATTGTAATGATTTTTTCCTATACTGTTTGTAGTGACCCTTTTTTTTTTATCATGCTAGTTTTATCTACTAGGAATCTTACAATAGTTTCTGCTTCCTCTTGAAAATTCTGAAAAGCTTAATCCCTAATTCTGTTCTAAATTGCTAATGATTCATGAATATTAAATCCAAACAAACCACCTGATATTGATTGTTCCTTAATATTTCTTAAAATCAGAGGCCCATTTTCAATGGCCTTTACAATAGAACTCTGCAATTAGAAATCCACACAAGCTTCCCTCTTTTTCATCAAGCTGTGTGTCTGCTCAAAGAAAATTGCTACAGCTGTCAGCTTCAGTGTAATGACAAATATGTTTCTCTGCATATTTGGTTTCAACTAGTTTGCTCAATTCAGTATGACTTCACTGGCATGACAAGTTATACAAGTGTTTCCAGGGAGTAAGAAAGATGAGCTGTCAGGTGTTTAACACAGGTTAACCCAACCTGGCCTTACACATCCTGCCTGGATTCAGCCCTGTGGTTATTAGATAGCAATACTCTTTCTAGCATCAGTGGCAGGCTGCTACATAACATTAACATGTTGCTGTTTCTCCTTTCCCTCAAGGTTATATGTAATCTTACTTCATTGTTTCTGGTGAATAATCTGGTAATGATACTGTGACATTTTAAATATGTGATTTGAGATAAAGATCTCCCATTTTGTTTATCAGAGCCAAAGATTTTTTCCAAACCACCTGTGATTTCTGTGGTTCTGTTGACAACTCTTTGCCCTCTGAGTTGCACAGCCCCATGCTCAAAAGCACCACAGCAAGTCCCTGAAGCAATTCAGTAACTTGCTAGAAAACAAATCTGAGAGTGGAAGAGGATTAACATGCCCAACTATCACAGCTTCCCTTTCATGAAATCTGAAGGAGTTGGGCCAACTGTTAATAAGCTTGCTGCAAACTGAGTGCTTATTTGGAAAGTTCGGTCTATGGAGAATATAATGACAGATTTTGGCATTTTCAGTGATGCTCAGCTCAACCAGGAACAACTAAAACAAATAGGAAATTAGACTGCCATGGATATACTAAAAAGGGGTGAGACTGGGCTGGTAAACTGAATGGAAGGACTTTTTATTATAAATGATAATTTGCACAGTAAAGGTTTCCTCTGTGTTCAGAACTGTTACCCATTGCTGCCAATGACAGAGCCAATGAAACAATACTGAATATTGCTGCCATTGTTAACAGAAAAATCATATTGATAACCATATGGAAGTCAGTGCATCACATATGCTTTAACCAAGACTTCTGAACTGATCCTGAAAAGGAAAATCTGGGTTCACAATTCTCATCACAAGTATTTGGATTACTGTTTTTCATAAAAAAAAAAAAAAAAAAAAAAAAGAGAAAAAAAGCAGTGCTTGCAGAATGCCCTTAAACAGATCAAAAGAAATAATGAGTTTTCAAAGAACCTCATTCTGACACCTCCAATCCATCATATCTGTATTATACTGATAATCTCTTCTCTTTTAATCAGTGATGCTCAGGAGAAGAAGGAACCTGTGAATGTAAGGATGAATCAGTGTCTGATTAGCTGTCTTCATAGAACCTTTACTGTGTTTATTCAGAGAAAGTGAAATTCAAAACTTTGAGTGATGATGATTATTGGTCCATACTTTTTTTCCTAAGGGAAACACTGTTTTAATTTTTTTCCCCCACAGTACTACAGTTGAAAGCATTTCAGTTAATACACCAAACACACAGATCCAAATGGACACCACTTTGGAAATCCAGCGATCTTACGCCAGCTTATAAGATGTAAGATACTGCACACCTGGAAAAATTAAATGTAAGTTGTTTTCCAAATTGTGATCTGGCAAACAATCACTAAATAAAGAGAAAAAGTAAATTATTTCTTTTTTTCAGAAACTCTTATTATGCACTTGTACACCTGCTCTTTCTCTTCCCACCCATCCTAAAGCAGCCATACTGTTGGTTGGAACTTGTTAAAACTTTGTAGAATGCAGCATCTTATCCTGGAAGGAAACAGCCAACTGCCACTGGCTTCTGTGCTTTTGGAGTGAATACCAAGCTGAATTTTCATTAATTTCTGCTACTTTTGCCTTCTTTCATTCAATTTTTGCTTCGGGGGCTTTGCAGTCTGGACTTCTGCCACTGCTGTCCTCATTGTCCCCTCATCCCCACCTGAACACTGCAGCAATGTTCAAACTCCCCTCCCACAGTGTGACAGAAGCTGCTTGTTGAGCTCTGCACCACAGCCTGCACACAGACTATAGGGCAGCAGGGAATATGGTACCAGGTATGCACTAATCCGAAATAAACGCATGACTCGGTCTGTCTAACCTGCCCAGGACCTCCCTGAACAGACAGCTCCAGTGGGTGCCTGTGGCTCCAGCTGTTTGGGGCACATCCTGCCAGTCTCCTAAGGGCTGACTGCATTTCAGGATAGCTGCCAGTCAGTCATTTAGCCTTGCCATTATTGTTTCCCTCAATGTGAAGCAATCAGTTACAGTTCTGCTCACCACTGTCTCATTACCAGCTCTCCTTTGATGGTCCAGAGTCAGGAGAGGATGTCTGTCCTTTGTGAGCACAAATGAGTCTCAGTTAGAAAAAAATTGTGACTGCTTGTGGAAATACTGGCTTGAACCAATAATTTGAAAGACTTGCAAGTGTTAGGGTTCCCACCATGTCACACAGGCCTCTCCTTGCATGCATAATCTTGGTGTTTGGAAAGGACAGCCACCCAACATTGTGTATTCCAGAGGAAATCCTGGATATCAGATATCATGTTTCATAGATCACATTCTGGACTAGCATTTGGCTTCTTTTTAGTCAAGTCTTAATCAGATAGAGCTGAGTAAAGGTGAATGTGATCATCTCATTATATTAGGTGTTTGTAACACATTTGCACATACATTTGTATACATTTTAATAGATATAATTTCTACTAACCCACTGCACTTAGTCTTTATACTTCAGTACCATCACCTCCACCAGGACAAGCCATTTTTCCTTTGGTAGGTCTCTCTGAAGTGGTTCAGGAAAGCAACATGACAGCCTATAATTTCCTTACCTTCACCTCCTCTCCATGCAGATACCGAGATGGTGTGTAACTAAATGTCAGTTTCTCATTTCTCTGGAGGTGCAGGTGGGAGTATGTTTAATCAGTGCAAATTCATTCATCTGTCTTACTGATCCCTCCATCTGCATGCTGTCAGCCTTCTCCTATAAAGCTAATTGTATAATCCTTGTTCTTAGCACTGACCTTGTCCCACATGGTGCTACATGAGGATACAGGGATGTAGGTGGCATTTGCTGGTCAGGTTTACTGTGTTGTCACACTAGTGCCTCTGACATCAGTGATATGCTCTAGTATTTAATCACAGAAAAGAGAAAGCCTTGCACTAACACACTTTTAATTTCCACTTGGGATGTAATAGTCCCCTTTCTTGGTACAGCTGACAATAATTATACATCTGTGAATGCAAGTACAGATATAGGTTGAGGAATGGATGTACACTGAAAGACTGATGTGCATATGAACATGCCTGATATTGGTTCAGCTGTGCAAACCTTGATGAGTACATTTCTGCAACTGCTGAACTGTTGTGGTCAGACACTTCTTATTTTGAAAATAGTTTGGTAAGGCCTTGTTTTAGAAAAACAATTAAAGAGCACCATTTATAATAATCTAATGCAATATTTTCTGTTGCTGTGGCCACAGAACAATTCAGGCATACATCAATTTGTGGGGAAGCTGTCTAAATTACCAAAAGCTTTAATAAACAAGCTAACAATTGATGTTTGAGGGCATGTAACCTTGCAAATGAAAATAAATCTGAATCTACATTTAAATCTCCGCATTAAATTGCAGGTTCAAATGTTTAACTTCTAAACCTTTGACTGCTTGTTTTTTGATTACCATCAAAAAATTAATATTTGTGCCTGCAGTAAATTGTGCCCACAGAACTGTAATGTCTCTTTCTCTTTTTAAAGCAGGCAATAAATGTAGTTATATGTGTTACTCTGCAGTATCACAGCAATAGGTAACAGTTTTTGATCTCAAGTTATGTGAATGTTCTTCATTCATCTGTGTATTAAATTACAATTTTAATCAACATTAACTTTCCTTTCACTGGTAATATTGTTGAGGACTCTGAGTTGGTCTAGTCCAGAGAAAAGGAGGATGAGTAGAGACCTCATTGCTCTCTACAGCTTCCTGAGGAGGGGAAGTGGAGAGGGAGGTGCTGAACATTTTTCCCTGGTATCCAATGGCAGGACGCATGGAAATGGTTCAAAGTTGTGTCAGGACAGGTTTAGGCTGGATATTAGGAAGAATTTCTTTACCAAGAGGATCACTGGAACTGACTTGCTTGAGAGGTGGTGGGTGCCCCGAGCCTGTCAGTGTTTAAGAGGCATTTGAAGAAGCCTTTAAGTTAATGATGTAACTATTGGTCAGCCCTGAAGCTGTTGGGCAGATGGATGAGATGATCACTGCAGGTCCCTTCCAACTGAACTTTTCAGTTCTAGTCTGTTCTACTCTTTTCTAATATTTCTGAACAATAGGAACTGTTACACTTGACTTTACCAGTCCACTTATCATGATCTTTTGGAAAGCAGCATTTCAAAAATATGGAGGGACTGAAAAGCTTGGAGATGAGCTGAAATTAGTAGTGACTGGCTCCTGGCTGAGCCACATGCTGGTGCATTCTCAATGACAAGTCATCTCTCTGTTGGTTTCTTTATTATAAAATGGAAATAGCCACTCACAAACAATACCCTGCCCTGAATTAAATTGTAAAACTACATAGGCTTTTGTCTTCAGATTGTTGCTTTCTTTTCTGTGTGTTTTGAGAGGTGAACACAGAGGTGAAAAAGGCAGCAAGAAGATTCATTACCTTTCTCCAGATCTCAGAAAGAACAGGGAAGAGGAAACAGCAATTAAATATGGATAAAGGCCATGGGAAATCCATAATCATTTAGTTGCTACAAAAGGATAAATCTAAAAGAGGTACTGGGTCAGGGTGAAGAATGTTGTCAGTGTTCAGCTAGTTTTGAAGACCTCTAAAACGAAAGTATAGGCAAACATCTGTTCAAGAAAGCAAGAGAAAGTGACACTGTATTATGCCTTAAGAATAGGTATGTGCACAATTTCTGCTGTGAAAGTGAATTATTTAGTCCATATTTTCCATGACAACCTTCTACCCATGATTCTCTATTATTCTCTCTTTCTCTATCAGTCTTCATTAAGATTAGCTGTGTGTGTGTTTACTCTGCTTGCCCCTTTCCTACCAGCATAGGTAGGCATAATTCAATCCACACCATGTGTGGATTAATTTTCAGATGCATAGGCAACTGATTTTATAGGTTGCCATTAAATGTAACCTATTGAAATAATAAACTAAAAATTCAGCTCCATAAATCTGCTAAGCTTCATCAGTTTATACTGGCTAACACCACGTGAAGATTGAATTAATATTAACTGAAATAAGAAATGGAGTTAATAAAAATATGAGAAAAAAATATGGAATCTCTAATGGCACAGGGAAACTGGAAGGTTTATTTTAACACTCTATCTATTAATAAGAATATTGTGCAAGCTAGATAATGTTTGCTAAGCTAAGAGGATTAAAGAGAAGGAAATACTGACTTCATACATATACTGAATTCTACAGAACAGGGAAAACCAGAATACAAACAGAGAGTAAATGAACTACTGGAATAGGTGAAAAATCTCAATTAGACTGATGGATACCTCTTCTGAATCACTCTTCTCAGATGTATCCTTCTACTTACAAATAAAGAGATCTGTACACTTTCAATCTTATGTGTTGACTTTTTTAAGGTATGAAACTGAATTTTAACTGAAAATCAGAAAAGCTTGGGTGAGTGCAGAAATAATAGGGCAGAATTGAAAAAAAAGTGGGAAAAATCACAAATATTTTTTGTTGACCCTGCTTGGACACCGTGTGCCCACCTAAGCTGCTCTATCACTGCCCTCCTCAGCTGGGAAGAGGAGAAAAAACATAATGGAAGGCTCATGGGTCAAGATAAGGGCAGGGAGAGAACAGTCACCAGTGACCATTTTAGGGAAAGCAGACTCCACTTTGGGATATTAGTTTAATTTATTAGCAATCAGGTCAGAGTAATGAGAAATGTATTAGATACTAATGTGATCTTTTTATCCTGAATCAGCAGACTCTGTTCTGAGGCATGTTTGATCCTGTTCATAAAATTCATGACATCTATTCTTAAAATTACCTAATAAAGGGTATTTTCACTCTTTAGAAAGTCATACATAGTAATTGCCATAATAATAATAATCTAAACAAAGAAAAACCCACAAACCCACAGACTGGTTTTTACTCTTTTTTGTATTTAAAAAATTCTGTCATGGTTTCTTTTTTTTTTTTTCCTAAAATAAGCTCCTCTGCACTTTTATGCAATATTAGTTTCAAGAAAGTCAGACTGAGCATAATTCAAATGCATTGATTTCTATGGAAGTTATATTCATTCTCTTAGGCCAAAGACCTGGAAGACTGAATGCAACTATTTCAATGAATAGTTTGTTCCGGCAAAAAGATCTTCAGCCTTCAGATAAGCACAAATATAGATTCTGTTTCACACAGTAAAATGCAGTGGGAAAGAGGGCTCTGTTCTTGCAGAATCATGTTCCCTGTATGGGTATTTCCTGTTCAGCATTCAGAAGCAGTTTCTCATGAATAGACTGGATTTGAATCAGATTCACTGATTCTCTTACCTTGGTTCTGAGAATGTTCATAGAAAGGGAACAAAACTCATAAAAGCCTCCGAGGGGATGTATTAATTTCTTTTCTTCCTTTCCCAAGAGAGATTTTATGTAGTTGTTTCTAAGTTCAGGAAAATAGCATAATTCAAATCCTTTCTCTATAACCTACAATTGCAGAATGCCAATCTAAGAATTTTTAGGCAGTTTTAAATGAATGGTATTGAAGTGACTATTCAGTAGATGAAGAATAGACATTTTAATTTCAGTTTTAGTAGGAGTGGAACATAAACAAGGCTCTCTTTCAGTATTTTCCAACAATATTCTTTTAATCTGTATTGCATTAATATTGTGTGAGCTAGTAGTCTAGACTAGTCGGCAGTATATAAAAGAGACTAAATTGTGCTGTGGCTGCAATCAAACCTGATTAAGTAATGCTTCTGCATAGCATAATTTCACCACCACACTTGGAAAGAACTGCTAAAAATGTGTCTGTTGAGAGAAGCTCTCTATTGTAACTCTAGAGGCAATCTGGTATTTAGTAGTGAGGGTTCCAGCTTCCAAGGATAACTTCAGCTCCTCATATGAAAGAGTCTCCAGCAGATCAGTGGTAAAAATGTCCCCTCCTAAAGTCCAGAGGGTGCACTAGGAGAGAAGAGTAAAGTGACCACTTGCCAAGGATTCTGGGATGGCCAGACAATATAATGTCCTTTGGAGACTATTCATGAATCCAAGCTAAAGCTCAGTCACTCAACCACTTTGGCCATCTGGAGCAGGAACATTGAATCAGAAACCTATATGAACTCCCCAGCAGCCCCAGCCTATAGGCTGTTTCCAGCCAGCACTGTGGGGAATAGTCTCCTGCACAGAACAAAAACATATGTAGAGATCAGTTTCCTGCATCTTCTCCCCCATGCCTGAACCACAAAGGATATGATATTACTGTCCCAGGCAAGGAGCCTACAGTTTTGAGCTCAAGCCAGAGAGGCTTACTCTTTTCACTTGGAAGATACTCAGCTCAAACTCAATTTATCAACTAAAATTGCAGTCGTTGAGTGAATCTGGAATAAATATACATTTCTTATCCACATAATTTACAGCTTATCTGGTATTCTCTGCTTTTAGTATTTTCCTGCCATGCTCAATTAGATCTCTTCCACCACCCACTTTGAAAGTGTCTGTATTCCAGAAATGTATGAAAACTTCTATACAAAACCCATAAACTATGTATGCCCGAGGTTTTGGTTTGGGTTTTTTCCTTTTTTTTTTTTTTTCAAAGTGGCCATAAAAGCTCACTTAAATAAATAAAATATAAATTATAAAAACTCTTGGAGAGCGATTTTTTTTTTTGTTTGAGATGTAGTATTTAAAATGAATTGTGCTTGTACTGGTATTTAGCCTGCAGCACTTAGCAGCATTTAAACAATTCCATGTTCCCACAGAACTAAATGCATCTTCTACGATTAATTATAGTAACAGTGATCGATTCTATTCCCTCAGTGCCTGTGGGAATACTCCCAGGTAATTTTAGAGGATGTG